GTTTAAATATAACTTCATCTGCTCTCCCATCCCCATCTTGTTTGTATTTTGTCCACCTGTTGAAGTCTGTCTGAACCCCAAATGTAAGCGTGCTGGGTTAGGAACAGTCTGTGTTGCTTATCACGGTGGGGCTTGATCAGTGTTTGGGATTCTAGGCAATTCTCTAGCTTAAATTATGTGGAGGTTTGCTCATACATTTATAGATTTGTACATATGACTTGGTTTTCAAATTTTTGTTGTTGTTATTTGAAGTGCACTTACATGTGGTGCTACCGCTTTGAAATGCCGCAAGGACCATTGAGCAGAACTGTCAATAATATAGTTATAACTTCTTCTGCCAAATGCGCTCAAAGCATTTAACAAGTATTTTATTCATTCCTCAACTCGATTGGAGATTTAAGTATAGCATGTGATGTTTTCATTTTAGATATTTGAGGAAACTGAGGCACAGGAAGATGACTTATCACCCAGAGCATTAGAGTAGAGGTAGTAAAACCCATCCCTGTTGACTTCAGACATCAGATTGTGCAGCCTCCATGAGGCGTACAAAGATGCCAGTTTCAGTCTCCTAGCTAACCATAATCATACCAAAATGGTAGTTATTGCTGTTCATCTTTGGTACTATCCCTGATTACTTCTTTGTGATATCTGCAGCTTAGCTTCACACACACACTTCTGAAGCTAAAACAAAATACAGGACTATGTAGCACTTTAAAGACTAACAAGATGGTTTATTAGATGATGAGCTTTCGTGGGCCAGACCCACTTCCTCAGATCAAGTAGGTCTGGCCCACGAAAGCTCATCATCTAATAAACCATCTTGTTAGTCTTTAAAGTGCTACATAGTCCTGTATTTTGTTTTAGCTTCAGAAGTGTGTGTGTGTCTTTAGAGAGCAGGTACTAGGTGAGAACCATGGACACTGGATCTTCTTTTTTAGTCTTCTATCAGATCCTTTCTTCCTGTGTTTGGTGGGGTTGTTCTGTTTTTCTGCCAGGTTTATAAAACCTTTTGCTGTTTACTAGGAATGTTAAAATGTGTTTATTTAGGGAAATGTGTAATAGCTGAAAATTTCAGCAATTTCATGTTTATACATGGGGGGGTGGGAGGTGGCTCCCTGAAATCTGTGCATGTGTGGAGCTGCCTCTCCCCCACCTGCTGCTGCCTCTGATACAAGCAGACAGTGAGCTAACTAGTTCTTCGATGTTGAAATGGAGCCAGGAATCTGTTTGATCCCACAATTCTGAGTCTCCCCAGATGGGCTCCCCACCTGAGGTCCAAAGCGTCCATCACTAACATCATTGTTGGGGAACAGGGGGGGCTTGAAAGGAACTCTCTTGCACACTGTGTGACGGTCCAACCACCAGTTTAGAGTGGTCAGTACAGTGCTGGAAATTGTCACTAACGAGGTCCAACCTGTCCCTATTGGATGGTAATTTGAAGAGAGCCATGTTTGTAGTGGCCTGAGGTGTCGCCCTGCATGTCTAATCACATTAGAGCATGAGGCTATGTGTCCCAGCCATTGTGGTTAAGTACTGCAAGAGGGATTTGATCATATTGGCCATGGTCTGAAACCTGGACTCCAGTAGGATGACGCTCGCTTGGGCTGAGTTGAGAATCACCCCAATGAAATTTGTTCTTCAGTGTTGATTTGTTTGGACTGAGGAGGTGTCCCAGAGACTGTAATTTGCCCACATTCATTGACTCTAGATATTTACTTGGTCCCTGGAGCGGGCCCTTGAGCAGCCAGTCATCCAGCTATCAGTAGACCTACAGTCCTGTCTTGTGCAGGAAGTCTGCTACCACCACTCTGCATTTGGTAAACATACTCAGGGCTGTCAACAATCCAAAGGGAAGGACTGTGACTTGATAATGGTTGTAGTTCATTACGAATGTGAGGAACTTCCTGTGAGCTGGAAGAATTGCGATATGAAAGTTAAGTGTCTTTCATGTTGAGGGCATCTGGTAGAAGTTGGAAAATTGGTTCAGTAAACATAGTGTGGATCTGGAGCTTGGATTGGTACGCTGTCCTTGAGCACACCTTCAAAACCCTATTTGGGGCCTGAAGCAGACTTGGAGGAGCTCTGGTGTTGGCCCATAGATAGGCTGAAGGGCCTATGCCTTTTATTTCTGCTCCTGCAACAGAACTGTTCTTGTTTGGGCCTTGTAGCTTGTGCTGCTGTGGTCAGGGCCTAAACAGCTTTTTTGAGGTGCCAATGTGTGTATATCAAGGAACTTCATGGTTGCCCTCAAATCCTTAAGTGTATCCAATGTTGAGTCTGTTTGCTCTGAGAAAAGACCTTTGCCTTTGAATGGAAGATCTTGAAAAATCTGCTGAACTTCTGGCAGTAACCCTGATGTCTAAAGCCATGAGGAGTGTCTCATGACTGTCCCTTGCAACTGAATCTGCTGAGTCAAGTGAGGCCTGCAAAGATGTTCTCGCAACAGTCTTGTCCTCTTGGACAAGGGCTGAAAATTTCTGCATGGAGTCAGCTGGATGGAGCTCCTTAAACTGTGACATAGTGTCCCACGGATTAAAAGAATATCTACTGAGGATAGCCTGCTCATTGGCTATCCTCAGTTGAAATCCCCCCTGCTGCATAGACCTTTCTACTGAAGAAGTCCAATCTTTTAGCATTCTTGGCTTCCGGGGCTGGCGCTTGTTGGCCCCGCCTCTCCTTTTCATTGATGGCTGATATGATCAATGAACAAGGGTGAGGGAGGGAAAAGAGGAATTCATGCCTTCTAGAGGGCATAAAGTTGCATCTCTCTACCCCCTTGGCATTGGAGGAACCAAGGGTGGGGTTTGCCATAAGGCATTGTTATTGTTTTGGATAATCTATGTCAGGGCTGTTCCTCACTCCGACACTCCAAGTGCAGAAGGTGGGGGCCTGCAAACTATACCTTGTCTCTACAGGCTCTGGTTACAAAAACTCCCCTAGAGTCACAGATTCATTGACTTTGGGCGGAGGGGGGGAGGATAGCTGCCACCATCAAGTAATTTTTATCCCTAAAACTGGGAGTGAACACTTGAATTCTCCCCCAGGGGTACCCCAAGCTCTTTTGCCACAAGAGAGTTTGAAAAAAAGAAAGAAAAACAAGTTGCAGTCTCTGGTAGCTGACCACTTAGTCTGAGGCATGTAGACACACAACGGACAGGAAGACCTCCTGGCATTTTTAAAGTCTGCACTATTGAGCAGATTGCTACACAACAGCACTCAGGCCAGGAGTTTAGAAGGACTCGGGAAAAAAAAAATAAAAACAACGAGGAGTCTTGTGGTGTCTTAAAGACTAACAAGTTTATTAGGTCATAAGCTTTTATGAGTTGCAGCTCACTTCATCAGATGTGTGAAGTGAAAGCTTCAGTTGGCAGGGATTTATAGTATATATAAGTGTTTCCCAACCCCGGGTATGAGTACCCTTGGGGTACTTGAGAGAAGTCGGGGGGGGTATGTCAACATAACTGAAATTTGTAGAAAATTGACTTTTTGTTTTAAGTTTTATAGCACTTTATTATGTCTGTGCTTTTTACACCCAACAATGTCATCCCCTGCCCGGCTACGATTAAGTTGTTTAAACAAATGTGTTGCAATGGTAGAAAAAAAATGTCTGTGTCTGAAAACTTGTAGGTTCTGGGGGTACTTATAATGTTTTTTTTTAAGGGGTACTTTATAAAAAAAGGTTGAGAAACACTGGCATACGTACATACCGAACTGGGAGTGTTACATCAATGCTAATGAGGCTAATTCAATCCAGGTAAGCATGGCCCACTTCCAACAGCTGATAAGAAGATGAGCATACCTAAGGGAAAATTACCTATTGTAATGAACTAGCTGCTCCCAGTCCCAAGTCAGACCCATCCTGATGGTGTCAAGTCAGCCTATGAATTACTTCAAGAATAGTTTTTATATAGCAGGGGTTGCCTTCATATCTGGTATTGGCTGAATTTCACCTCCTCTTTGTCCATTGACAGGCAGGGCTGGATTAGCCAGTAGGCACAATAGGCACAGTGTCTAGGGCCTACAAAAATGGTTAGGGCCTACGAAAAAATGTAGGGCCTAAAAAATTCATAATTCACTGGAAAATCAGAAAAGAACACTGCTAAACCAAACTTAATAATTCGCTATCTTTGGTCAACAAACAACATACAGGTTTAACATACATTTAACTACAGGCAGTCCCCGGGTTACGTACAAGATAGTGACTGCAGACTGGGGGGGGGGCAAAGCAGAGCAAAGCAGAGCCAAGCCGCGGAGCACGTGGGCAGCGGACAGCCCTGTCCGCTGCCCACGTGTTCCGCCGCTTTGCTTCCTCTCCCTGGTCTGCTGGAGACCAGGGAGAGGAAGGGCCCCGTTCGTAACTGCGGATCCGACATAAGTCGGATCCGCGTAACTCGGGGACTGCCTGTACTTGATAAAGCATACTTGGTCGCTAGATGTAACAGCGCAACGAAGGAAAACAAATTAAAACGCACAGAAAATCTCTGGGAACAATTATTAGATGGTAAATGGGGAGAGAAGGCATAGCTTTACACAGAGCAGTTCAAACCAAACCACAAAATAAAGAAAAATACTCTGATTGCGACTAGATTCACTTTTTCCCTTTATTGACTCCCAATCTTCTCTTTGTTCAGTCCACTTCCATGTCCCGAATTCCTTGGAGGCATGGTAGTGCTGCCTTGACTCAGCAGTCTGTGACCAGCTTGACACATTGGTAAATTTCTTTTAGCATAATTGTTTCAAACAATTGCATGTCTTTGTGAAAGCCCTGAATCAGCAATCACTATAGCTGTAGTCATGCTGACTTTTCAGTTTAGGCAAAGTGTAGTCAAGGACTCAATAAGAAAGGAAAGATAAAAATTTAAAGGAAGAGGCTAAATTTGCTTGTGATTCTGAATTGCAGATCCTCAGTTTTTTTTTTTCAAAAACAGATGCTTTGTTGAAGTTTTTTAATACCCAAATATGCATTGTATAATGCTTAAAATCTTCTCTTAAAAACAGAGTTCTCCTTCTTCGATCCTAATGATGCAGCATGTCAAGAAATTCTTTTCAACCCTAAAACTTCAGTTTCTGAATTGTTTGCCATTTTACGACAGTGGGTTCCTCAAGTCCAGCAGAACATTGATATCATTGGAAATGAGGTGAGTAATGAAGGAGAATTCCTGAACAGTTTCAGTGTTAAAGAAAAATTGTAATGTGTTGATACTTACCAGAACTGATCTTATTCAACAGTCGAAATAATAGGTTCAAGAAAGAGATTCTTTCTGTCTTATAACATGTAGCTACAGACCAATATAACTATGATGCAGGCACCTTTCACAGTAGAGGCAGCATTCAGCTATCTTTCTGAAAGAGAGGAAGATGAATAGATAACTATCCAAGAAAATTGTAAGAAGGCAGCAAGGGTGAGTTGAAGAAACAAATGGAGAAGTTTACGGTAATTTTAAATTTCTGACAAATTAAATTAAAATTGTCAGAATTTAATGGTGGGACTCGTGAAAACATTTAAGACATTTAGAAACTGAAGTATTTTTCCTTATTTGATCAGGTCACATAAGCAGGGCTTGACAAATCAGTGAATCTCGCCCGTGGTAAGTAGATTTCAGCCAGTTGGCCCGTTCACTGGCGGCACGTGCATGCGCAATGCGGGTCTGGCGCATGCGCAGTGTGGGGCTGGCGAGTAGATTTCGCCGCGGTTTGTCAAGCCCTGCACATAAGCTTTTCCATATAGCCCAGCATGTATTCTTAAAAAGCTTTCCCAGAGTACTGAAGGCCCAAATGATTAAAGTATAGATGAGAAAGAGAAATTAGTGTTTTAAACAGATTTAGTTTTCCTGGATTGCATTGCATCTGAACTGAAAATGTTAACTTTTCAACATATTAAAGCCAAATGGTGCTAACGATGGAAAAACTATTTTAAACCTGTATGCACTGAAGGTTGGTTAATAATATTTAGTCATTTGTAGCTGTCCATTGTGCTGAGCTATGTAAAATTGCAGTAGAACTTCACAGTTATGAACATCAGTGGAGTTTTTCATAACTGAAGAATTTTATGACCTTTCAGAAGTTTACAACTGAATGTTGACTTATTACAGCTTTGAAACTTTACTATTGAGAAGAAAAATGCTGCTTTTAGTCATCTCAATTTAAACAAAGAAAATTTCTTTTACCTTATCAAATCTGTTTGTAAACTTTCTCTGTATTTTTAGTAGTTTATTTTTAACAGTACTGTTCTATATAATATTTTCTTTTTTATTTATTAATTTTTTGTTGCTGCTGCCTTGTGGTTCGAAATGAGATCTGCAGTTGACTGGTCAGTCTGCAATAGTGATGAAAAATACCGTTTAATCAGTTAACTGGTTAATTGCTTAAACGAGAGTGGGTAGAGGGCTGCTCCAGCCCAGGTGGGCTGGAACAGTCCCTCTCCCGTGATGTGGGGGCCTGGCCGGACTGCCAGTTAACCAATTAACAACTAACACCCCTAGTTTGTAACTCTGGCCTTTGTAACTCTGGGATTCTATTATACTTGGCGCTGCTTTGCTAATTTCCACTGCAAGAAATGTGTAAGTCTATGTGTGAAAACAGAATTTATTCAATAATTACAGCAGACATACTATGTGCTGTTTTTCCTACAGATCATTAAGAGAGGCTGCAGTGTGAATGATAGAGATGGACTCACTGATATGACTCTCTTACATTACACTTGCAAGTCAGGGGCTCATGGTATTGGTGAGTAAAGAAAAATAGAAATGGAACTATTTGCCTAGATTAATCACATAGTCTATTCCCCCTTCCATTTCAAAATTGTTTCTGATAGTAAATTTGCTAGTACTTAGACTTAACTATTGACCATTTTATTTGCATAGTGTCTTAAAATGGCTATTAGAAGGGTGATATAAAAATTAAACATAACTGAGAGATATTTTTGCTTTGTAATATTGAAATCTCAGACTCCGTGGGAGAGAGAAGCAATTTTAGGTTGCATTTCATGCACATTCATAGGAAATAAGAGTGCATTTAGCCCTCTCTATCTTGATGAATCCTATTAGCTTATATCAAAGTACCTTTTTACTCCAAGACTGAACCCATTTTTTCAGTCTGCTCCAGTAAATGGGGCTGGTGTGGCTGATGGAGCTATAACTTTGCTGGCAGAAGGTCTGAGAATTAGGCATGGTAAAGTCTTACTCCACCACCTCACTGGCGTGCCCCTGGATAGACGATTCTTTTTTGGCCTAATCCTCAAGAGAGCATTTTTGTAGCAAAATGTCTTTCTATAAGATTTACTACAGGTAGCCATAATTTGAAATACAAAGGTTTTCTAGTGTGTTATAATGTGATATCTAGACTGGTACGTTATGTCACACTATTAAACGCTTAACTAACATTTAGAACAACTTTTTAAAAAACTGCTTTGCAGGTGATGTTCAGACTGCTGCCAAATTCGCCTCTCATCTTATTGATCTGGGTGCAGATATCAGTTTGCGTAGTCGCTGGACAAATATGAATGCTTTGCATTATGCTGCCTACTTTGATGTTCCAGAACTTATTAGAGTTATTTTGAAAAATGCAAAGCCAAAAGGTAGGTATCGTGAAGTTTCAATTTTCTTAAATCATATGTCATTCTGCCTTCAGTTAACCCCACTGACACATCCAGGAAATGGGAAAATGAAAGCTGCACTTGCACGTAATTTTAAATTCCCATTCTCTTTGGTTTGCATAAGAAGTGAGAGTACGATGGGACTAGATTTCATAAATAATGAATGGGAAGTGAGGGACTAGAGAATGAAAAAAGAGTAATAAATCTTCCATACCGCTAAACATTTGATGGCATATGGAAGAGCTGGTGTGCAGAAACAAAAGCACATTGTACTATTTGCAACTTCTCAGGCTGACTGCGGTGTCCTTATGATCAAGAAGCAGATTTAGAAAGAAAGAAGCAATCTACAGGGTAGATGAGTTCTGGAGACTATAACAGCAGGGGAAAGAGGTGCATGGCGCTAGCAATTAAAGCTGCTGTTAACGTGTTCATATGTCTCATCTGTACCGCCCCTCTAAAAATGAAGCAACTCAAATGTTATATCTGAGATGTAAAAGGGGGGGAAGATTGGGGTGGGTTATCCCACTGATAGTAATAAATGCACTTAAAGTTGTGCAAATAATATAAATTAATAATCAAGTCTAACCCAGTATCTTCATGCAAAAGGTAATTGACACTGAGTTCTGAAGCAGAAGCCAATATTACTGTGTTTTTAATTTGCATCAATATCTACACCAACAAACAGCTTGTGCATTATACTAAATAAATATCCTTCTGGTTGTGCTAGCTTGTAGAATTGTCAAATGCCTCTCTTAACTAGCTGTTATTAAAAAGTCTTCATTTTAAACACTGAAAAAATGAAGACTTTTATAAATATTGACAACTTAACGCCCCATTGCATGTCTATAATGTCATTTAGAAACACAGGGTTTGTTTACCAGCTCTTGTATAAGGCGTTGTCAGAATATTAATGAGTAAGCGTAGGTGCTAGTGACTGTTTTAGCATTTCTCAAAAATAAATGGAGGCTGGGCAGATGTGCATATTTAGGGGTATAAATAAAAATCCTGATGTTTGTTTCTATACGTAGTGGCTTTCTCCACTACGTATAGAAAATCGGAGGGCCCAGATAATCTTCATCCAAGAATATTAAAGGAACTGGCACATGAAATTGCAAATCCATTAGCAAAATTTTTTAATAAATCTCTAAACTCAGGGGTTGTACCATTTGACTGGAGAATTGCTAATATAGTTCCTATTTTTAAGAAAGGGAAAAAAGGTGACTGGGTAACTATAGGCCTGTTAGTTTGACATCTGTAGTATGCAAGGTCTTGGAAAAATTTTTGAAGGAGAAAGTAGTTAGGGACATTGAGGTTAATGGCAATTGGGACAAATTGCAACATGGTTTTACAAAAGGTAGATCATGCCAAACCAACCTGATCTCCTTTATTGAGAAAATAACAGATTTCTTAGAAAAAGGAAATGCAGTGGATCTAATCTACCTCGATTTCAGGAAGGCATTTGATACAGTACCTCATGGGGAATTATTGGTTAAATTGGAAAAGATGGGGATCAATATGAAAATTGAGAGGTGGATAAGCAACTGGTTAAAGGGGAGACTACAGCGGGTTACACTGAAAGGTGAAGTGTCAGGTTGCAGGGAGGTTACTAGCAGAGTTCCTCAGGGATCAGTTTTGGGACCAATCTTATTTAATCTTTTTATTACTGACCTCGGCACCAAAAGTGGGAGTGTCCTAATAAAGTTTGCGGATGACACAAAGTTGGGAGGTATTGCCAATTCAGAAAAGTATCGGGATATCATACAGGAAGATCTGGATGATCTTGTAAATTGGAGTAATAGCAATAGGATGAAATGTAATAGTGAGAAGTGTAAGGTTATGCATTTAGGGATTAATAACAAGAATTTTAGTTATAAGCTGGGGACACATCAGTTGGAAATAATGGAAGAGGGACCTTGGAGTCCTGGTTGATCACAGGATGACTATGAGCCGCAATTGTGATACGGCCGTGAAAAAGGCTAATACTGTCTTGGGAAGCATTAGGCGAGGTATTTCCAGTAGGGATAAGGAGGTGTTAGTGCCATTATGCAAGGAATTGGTGAGACCTCATTTGGAATACTGTGTGCAGTTCTGGTCTCCCATGTTTAAGAAGGATGAATTTTAACTGGAACAGGTACAAAGAAGGGCCACTAGGATGATCCGAGGAATGGAAAACCTGTCTTATGAAAGGAGACTCGAGCTTGGCTTGTTTACCTTAACCAGAAGAAGGCTAAGGGGAGACATGATTGCTCTCTTTAAATATATTAGAGGGATAAATACCAGAGAAGGAGAGGAATTACTTAAGCTTAATACCTACGTAGACACAAGAACAGATGGATATAAACTGGCTATTAGGAAGTTGAGACTTGAAATTAGACAAAGGTTTCAAATCATTAGAGGAGTGAAGTTCTGGAACAGCCTTCTAAGGGAAGCAGTGGGGGCAAAAGACCTATCTGGCTTCAAGATTAAGCTAGATGGGTTTATGAAGGGGATGGTTTGATGGGATAACATGATCTTGGTAACTAATTGACCTTTCACTATCAGTGGTAAATAGGCCAATGGTGGAATGATAGGAGTTACTATAGAGAACTTTTTCCTGGGTATCTGGCTGGTGAGTCTTGCACACATGCTCAGGCTTCAGCTGATCACCATATTTGGGGTTGGGAAGGAATTTTCCTCCAGGGTAGATTGGCAGAGGTCCTGGAAGTTTTTTGCCTTCCTCTGTAGCATGGGGCACGGATCACTTGCTGGAGGATTCTCTGCATCTTGGGGTCTTTAAACCATTCAAGGACTTCAATATCTGAGATATAGGTGAGAGGATTATTCCAGGAATGGGTGGGTGAGATTCTGTGGCCTGCATTATGCAGGGGGTCAGACTAGATGATCATAATGGTCCCTTCTGACCTTAAAGTCTATGAGTCTCTCTTATTTGTTTGTTTGTTTATTTATTTATCTTTCTATGTATTTATACTATTTCGACCCCACCCCTCCAGTTAAAAATATTTGAGGCAGCTTACAAAATTGTTTAAAAATACTGTATATAGAGGTAAAATACAGGAACCCAAGTGGGAGGAGAGGAGAGAGGGGGAATAAAACCTGCTAAAACACCTCAAGAGGAGGGTCACACACACAGACATATACACAACTAAACACCAATAAAAGCACGGGTAAAAATGTGGCTTTGGCCTGGCACTGAAACAGTGCCAACAATGGCTCCAGGTGAGGGGAGGGGGGGGAAGAGGCTGAAAAGGTCCTGCTCTGCATAGATGTCAACCTTATCTCCATAAGTGGAGAAACACAGAGCAGAGCCTCTCCAGCTGACCTCAGTCCCCAAGTGGGTTTGTATGGGAGGAGACAGTCCTTCAAATACACAAGTCCCAACCCATTTAGGACTTTATAAGTCATAACCAAGACCTGGAATTGTGACTGGAAACATTCTGGAAACCCCAGAGCACGGGGCCAGTGGGGGACTCAAGCAGTTTTCCCTGGGCCTGTCTTCCCTGTGGCATTTCAAAGCAGCACTGTTGCTCCTTTTTTGAAGAACAGTTAACATTATTGGCTTGTCTACACTGGCAGATTTTGTTTCCTAAAAGTGCCTTTTGGTGACAAAACAGTGAGAGCATTTACACTGCAATGCGACTTTTGTTGGGATAAACATACAGTTTTGGCAACAAAAAACTTCAACCTCTGTAAGAGACTTTGGATTTTTCCTTCCCCTTATTGTCGACAAAGGGCCATAGTGAACTCTACTGTTTGATTTGTTAATAGAACTGTCTTCTGCCAGCATCCCAGAGTGCCTGCCCTGATGGCTGTGCTCAGTGTTGTGTGATCTCTGCTGCCCTGCAGGCATGTGCCCCTTTCCTTTCAAAGCTCTGGGGAATTATATGACAGTTGAGTGAGCTGTTCTGTTAGGGGAACAAAGAACAAATCATTGGAATACTCCTGTTCTGCCTTACACTAGAGACACAGCTCTAGGCAGACTGCTGCTGCAGGGAGAGGGCTGGAGAGACTGCTCTGCTGCTGTGATATTTCTCAGCATGGAAAGCTCGCAGAGCTACGAGGGAATCCTAAGGAGCATAGGAATCAGCCCCGCCTTCCTATAACACAGCACTGTGGGATGCTTACCCACATTGCATTGCTCTATCTGTCAACAGGGTACTAGAAATATGGCCATGAAATGTTGACAATGGGAGGCAGAAAAACTGGTTTGATCTGTTTTCACTTTTGGTAACTTTTGCATGGCGACAGCACTTTCATCACCAAACCTTCCCAGTGTAGACATAGCCTATGTTACAATAGCCATCCTCCCCTTCTGTCTTCCTGACCTGCAGCAGTAGAATGGCTTTTGTGCCAAACAAACACCTGGTGTCATACTTTTTCAGTTCTCCTGCACAGCTGCCCCAAGAAAGGGCAGAGTTTTGTCCAGACATTCAAACAAACAAACAAAACCAAATCTAACATATCTGGGAAAATGACATGCCCCTCATCAGCTAATTTTTTTGATTGCGATGAGCTGTGTGGAGAGACCCAATTATACCACGGAAGGATCCACACTTCATCTGTTCTTGGGAAAACGTCACAAGATACATGAGACCTTTCAAGCAAAAGGTGCAATGTGTGATACACAAATTTAGAGACACTGTTCTTAAGAAGAGCCAGATATCACATGAGCTTGATTTACTGCGGCAGTAGTATGCCCTGCATGATTTCGTATAATATTCTCAATTGTAAGAAGTTTAGAGTGAACCTTTATGGAGAACCGGTTTATCCTCAGATTGGTAAACACGGTTAGATATGGGAAATTTCATTCATTGGGAATGAAATCATGTTTTTGTGTGTGTCATGCTTCTGATATATAATCCCATATGCATCATTCACAGCAAGCTGTATTGCTATATATTTATTTCACTTCAGATAGTTCTCCAGTAATTATACAGTCTGCCCAGTTAAGCTGGAAATGTGTTTGAACATGCCTAAAGATTTTGCCTATATATTTTTGTTTTAATGTATATTGTGCAAATTTATAAAGTCCCTGTATAATCCAAATCAGAGAACCTCCTGTGACTTAAGTTTTGAGGACTTGATTGTGGCCTGATAACTATATTTGAAGGTTTTCATTTAAAAATATCTGGATTTTCAGAGGTGCTGAACACCTATAGCTCTGATTGACTTTAGTTGGTGTTATCTGTTTTCAGTACCACTGAAAATCATGCACAAGGAAATGTCTGCTTGAACACCCAACTAAGGTATGCACATTTGTCTGATCTTATAGATGGATTAGCATAGATATTTTAATGATAAAAGTAATTTTAAACTTATATATCAAGGGACCTAATTCATGTTGGTGTAGTTCCATTTCGTAAGGGTAGATTAATTCAAAGTAAATACTAGGTATGTTAAGCAGCATATAATTAATTAATTGTGTAGTCACCATAGATACATGTTAGCAGTGAAAATGCTCAGTCCTGGCTTGCACTGAGTCTGGCACTAACTTCGCTGTGGCTCTGCATTATTAGTGGACTGGGGAGTCACTAACAATGTGGAGCCACAGCTGAGTATGCTGGAACCTGGCGCAAGCTGGATCTCAGCCAGCCTGCCTGTGTGCCAGCTCTCCAGTCTACTAATAATGCAGAACTGCAGCAGGAAGCCCGGGATTGAGCCAACCTGTCGCAAGGGCACCATTTCGGGAGAGTAGGGGGGTGCAGCAGCTGTGCACTCTGAAATGTGGCTTGTTTTTCATCCCATTCCCTGGACTATCAGGGAGTGAGGGGAAAGTACTTGAATTCCTTGCATGCCTCTCACACCTGCCTGGTGAGCCCTCTCCCAAAATGGCGCCCTTGGTCTGTCTTCCAGCCCTTTAAAAAAAATGTAATTGCAGAGCTGCAGGGGGCGGTGAGAGTTGTGTGTTGCTTCTAACGTTAACCAATTAGTGCCCACTAATTAGTTAATTGTTTAGTCAACTACACTATTACAGGCTAGTAGATACCTTTTAAAGTATTCCAGCAAGGTCTGCATAGCACAGTTAGAATGCAACACAGTAGGGTACATTTATAAGTCTCACTCTGGTGTGCATCGGAGTGCCATGTAGACCATCTTTAGGTACGGCTAGACTATAGGTTTTTGTCGGAAAAAGGTATGCAAAATGTGGAGTGCATTTTGCGTACCTTTTTCCGAATTTTTTTTTGGAAGAGGCTTTTCTGACATTTGGCCAGTCTAGACTGGGCCAAATGTGAGAAAATAACCCTCTTTCAAAAGCCCCCTTCTTCCTCGTAGAACAAGGAATACAGGGATTTCCAAAAGAGCACGTTTGCACTTCCCATTAAAAAAAAAAAGCGGAAGAGCAAATGCATTCCCTGGACGCGGTGGAGTTTTTTTGGGATACATCCCCCAAACTCCCCACAGTCTAGCCGTACCCCTACTGAAGTTACATAGATTAGAGTTGAAAGGTTTTGTGTCCATTTTAATGGTCACCAGTTCAAATCTGAACTAGTAGCATCTGAAAGTCATATGAAGGTTGCTTGGTATTGAATGTGAAATGAGTTGGAATTCTGGACAATGTGTCCACATTCCAAACTGGCACCCATTTTGTTAGCCTCCAAAGATTGATTGGATATTGAAACTGAGCTCTTTGCTATCAGCTGAAAGTAATTGTTCCAAAAGGAGGTTGAGTCACATTGGGGTAATCAGAGGGAATTTGTATTATACTGTACCTTTTCTTGATTGGATTATAACAGTTCATTTTGTAAACTGTCAATCTAGGTCTCTTTACTGTCATTATATTCATTTGCTTTTTATGAAGTAAATAGGGAAGCTGGGGATGTAATCAGTCCCCCCCCCCAATGTCTGGAAAATACATCTTTTTCAAAGTTTCTACATGTTTAAACAATGAATAAAAAAGGAAACATCTTGTTACTTCATCAGAAAGCGCAGTCTTACATAAAGAATCTGTAGGATGAAATGTTAGAAGTAACACCTTGTCCATTTTCTCCTGTGATGTTTAATTGCAGATGTTGATGCCACCTGCAGTGACTTTGATTTTGGAACAGCTTTGCATATTGCTGCATTTAACTTGTGTACTGCAGCTGTGAAGTGCTTACTGGAACATGGAGCGAATCCTGCTTTTAGGGTAAGGTGTATGTTTTCAGATGAACCAAAAGAATGAAAATTAATTATTTTGATTGAGTTTATTGTTGCTGTAGCCTGGTTGGTCTCAGAATAAATGAGACACACAAGGGTGGGTAAGACAGCTTTTATTGGACCAACTTCTGTTGGTGTAAAGTTCAAGCTTTCAAACTACCCTGAATTCTTCAGGTCTGGGGAAAGAAATCAGCATTTCTATGCTAAATACAAGTTGGGACACAGATAGTTAAGGGGTAATGTTGTTAGGAGATCCCTTGAAACAGAGTGGACAATAAGGGTTAGATTGTTTATTCAAAAGGGGTTTGATGTGGGCCATTGAAGGTTAGCAAGCTGATATATGTTAGGTTGTTATAAAGAATCATAAAACCAGTGTCCTTGGATTTGGGGTCTAGTAGTGCTATGATTTTACATTCCAGGCTTGCCTTTTGTTCAGACAGGTTTACGTTAAGGATAAGTTTTGAAAGATCAATTCCTTGTGTGAGTTCATTTGAGAGAGTGTAGTGATTTAATTTGACTATCATTTAAGAAAACAACTTGCATGCAGGGGTGATGTGGGTGTGTAGGTTCCAAGATGTAAGAGAGAAGGTGATTGGTGAGAGAGACAAGCTTTCAAGCTTCCACAGAGCTCTCCTTCAGATCTGGTAAGTGTATTCAGTGTTGCAGCTAAATACATGGCTGAACAGATTGTTTAGCATAAGTAGTCAATGCACATTTCAAGGGACCATTCAAGGTGAAAGTGAAAACAAGCTGGTGAGTATGGCTATCTGAGTTCTCTGTCCTCCTCATCAAAGGAAACCTTCATATCGCCTTTAAAGGATGACCCTGGGAGCTTAAATTTGTAACTTTGCTAGATGCTAAAAATAAATGAACTAAATAGATACATTGGATTTATAGATGTTTACAACAAGCTATTTCAAGGGACCATTCAAGGTGAAAGTGAAAACAAGCTGGTGAGTATGGCTATCTGAGTTCTCTGTCCTCCTCATCAAAGGAAACCTTCATATCGCCTTTAAAGGATGACCCTGGGAGCTTAAATTTGTAACTTTGCTAGATGCTAAAAATAAATGAACTAAATAGATACATTGGATTTATAGATGTTTACAACAAGCTATACCAGTGGTCGGCAAGCCGCGGCTCGC